CAGGAATGGACAAATTATTTTAACACAGACTGCAAACAAAACACTTTTTCACTACTTTTGTCAGGTTATTATTACTGATAAAGTCTTCCGCTCTCATTGACAAAAAAAAAAAATTCACTGTTCTGGTTAAAAGTCCATACTTACCATCATGTAACTGGAAAGCTAGTGTTGTGATTTTCTGTGTAACAATCATTAATGGTCTACAAGAGAAAAATACATTATCGTCACCAAACATTCCAACACACCTATTAATGAATCTACGCTGAAGGCTGTGTAAATGCTTTGAGGAGAATTCCTTCCTAAAGGCAACATAAAGAAGAAGAAGAAAAAAAAAAGCGTCCCAACAATGTAAAGTAAACTCTTGAGAATTTAAACAAATTCCTAATCAAGAATTTAAATGTAGACTTGACAGAATTAAGACTGAGTTAGACCTCTGCTTGACATATGTAGCTGAGCGCCAGTTCATGTGGTCTAAACAAAAATGTTATGCTAAAAGCAACATGCCTTACACTATGCTGGTCAATCGTTTACAGTGTATAGAACAAACGTTTACTACTATCTCTATTAAAATCAGACTCACCACCCTCACTAGTAATTCTGTAGAGATACTCAAAGAATTTCCCTTTTATTTAGCTAACCTTTATTATGACACTGACAAATTCTCTCCGGAGAAGTCCAGGGGTTTTCAGAAAAGCACGTTCTCCCTCATATACAATGACTTGAAAAAGTATTTACCCCCTTGGTGTTTTTCCTGTTTTGTTGCATTACAACTTGGAATTCAAGTGGATATTTTGGATGGTTTGTACCATCCATAACTGGGCACACCAACTCAAGTGCAGTAATAGTAAGATCTTTAACCACTTACTATCCTAGGCTCTGCCTGGGCTAGTCATCTGCCACAGGGCAGATAGTAATCTGCCACAGACTATCCCAGGCTCTGCCTGGGATAATCATCTGCCACAGACTATAGGGGCTCCCATGTGGGCCCCTAACGAGCACAGCAGGTCTGTGTACCTCAATTAGAGGGGATCAGCACACTTCGAGCGGCTGATCTCCCCTGAGATTGCTGAAAGAGGAAGCGATGTGTCATCACTTCCAGTGTGTCCTTTATCCAGCTGCTGTGGCCAGAGAAGATGCTGATGAAGCACAAACTGTGCTTCTTTGGGTTCCATATGTGAAACTAGGGGTCTAATAGGTCCTCCTTATGGAGACATCAGTGGTCTATCACATTCTCTTTGCTATTACACAGTGAACTTGTTAAATGTAAACCCAAAAGCCTGGCAAAAAGCTAAAATGGCTACTTAGTGTTATTTTACAAAAAAAAAGTTCTGATATTCTGACCCCCCATTTAGCCAGCCTTTAAACACATTTAAAAAAGATAAACGTTTGTCCTCGAATATGCTGACTGGAAGCACTGTGATGATATCCCAAGCCTAATGCAGTCCCTCATGCTTGGTTGAGCTTTAGGTCCACATTGCTTTAAAATGTAGGCATCAAAATATTGCCATAGGGACGAGTAACCAGACTGAATAATTTCTATTCATTACTGCCTTTGAGAGTATTATTATTATACAGGATTTATATAGCACCAACAGTTTGCGCAGCGCTTTACAATATAAGGAAGACCTTACAATCACAATACAATTCAAGACAATATGGTAAGGAGGGCCTTGCCCGTGAGGGATTACAATCGAGTAGGTGTTTGAAAGACCCCCAATCTTCAAGCTTAGGCTCCTCCCTATATCTGACCTAAATTTGTTGCTAAAACCTTCATATATGACCAAGTTGGAGCAGGACCTGGGGACTAGTCCTAAACACCTAATCTCATGTATCACTTGCCCCTCCCTTTTAGATTGTAAGCCCTCACGGGCAGGGCCCTCCTTACCATCTTGTCTTAAATTGTATTGTGACTGTAATGTCTTCCTTATATTGTAAAGCGCTGTGCAAACTAATGGCGCTATATAAATCCTGTATAATAATAATAATAATAAACAGCCAGGCTGGGACACAATATGGGTACAAACAGCCAAAAGTTCATTAAATGTGATAGCTTTGGAAAACTCATACAGAGTGCTAATGAGAAGGTACCTGATGCCCTGCACACTACCAGCAGTTGATCTTCCCTTAGATCACGGAAAGCAGAAGCAATGTGTATTACATCACTTCCAGTTGCAGTGTGTAACTTCTCCAGCTGATGTAGCCGCTGGTGAAGCACAATCTGCTTCATCAGCTTCTTAGTGGTCTAATAGAGGGTATGGTAGTTTTTTGCAATTTCATGGACACATGCAATTTTATGGCTTGACATCTATTTACCCGACATGACCCCATCTTTTATATTTTACCCAAAAAATTGGGTCAGAAATGGTTCATAGCATAGCGTAGGTAAAACCGTTTATTTTTTCCCCAATATTTTCGGTACTTTTTTCTTTATATAGTAAAAAATAAAAAACCCAGTGGGGATTAAATAGCACTAAAAGAAAGCACTGTCCCAAAAAAAGATATACAATTGATTTTGGTACGGCGTTGCATCACTGAATAAATGTCAAAGTACCTCAGCGCTGAATACTGAAAAAGGGCCTGGGACTAAAAGGTACCTGCAATTCCACACTGTTGCTACCTTAGATACTTTATCGATCAGGTTCACCTGAAAGCAAATCTGTACTAACTATGCATGCTGGCAACAAACAAAAAGACTCTGTATAATATACACCACAGGGCGCATTAACATAAAGGTACTTGCAGCTCAGTGTAGACTTGAGCATCACCAGTTATGGTCTTACTAGACTAGATATACCATTCCACCATCTCAACATTGCAGCACCCTGTGCCTGAGCAATGAATCACCAGGCCCAAGCATCGTCATGCGGAAATGGATGTCGGTGTGTGCTCTACCGCATGCAACAACCAACCTTGAGTAGTCAGTATCAGCAGAGGTTTTTCAGGGGCTATGTAAGCATGTTGATGAGGTATACAGTAAGACAGCCGTTATGTTCATACATTTAATAGGGCATATTATACTTCCTATTTGATGACAGGATGTATTGTTATGGCAAGTGCACTTTAACATACAAAAATAGTGCTGAGCAAACAACTTTCTAATCTGTGTAACTGACAGTTGTGCTTTACAATTACATGACACATTTCAGAGGTTATTTCCTGTTACATATTGGATGTGTGTACCTACCCTGAGAAGTCCGTTGTGAGGATGCCATAATTAAATATATATACTCTGTTAATCTGGCACAATGTTAGGTAACTCAAAGCAGTTATAAAAGAGTACCTGTAAAACAACAGAAAAACACATTGTCACGGTCCAGTGATTAATCTATTCCAACATTATTAAAAGCAGGAATATAAACAGCTAAAAACTGATCCATGTTAAAATTATGTTTATGACATTTGCTGGTATAAACACGGCCAAAACCATAAGAAAAGGTCAAGCTGGCAGATAAAAATAACAGTCCTGCAGAAAAGAGAAGCTTGTTATAGAATGCTTTCTGGGTAAACGTTGGAGAACTGTACAATCAATATTTACTAATACTAGCATTCTCCTGCCTTACTAATGGTCACTGAGGCTGTCAATCACAGCGATCAGCCAATAGCAAGTTTCAAGAGGTCAGAGTATGCTGGCCTGTACTTGACTTTACGGGAAGAAGTCAAATGAATACATTCTTAGGGCTGCCAGGATGTTTAAAGAGTACCCACATTTTATTCTTGGAACCAGCTTGTTAAGACAAGTTTCCGTTAAAATATACCTAAAGCTGAAAATCTTTCTGTTTTGGCTAGAATGGGGTAGTGCTAACACCAGTCTCAGTTTATATTGTGGTTTGGGTGCCCACTGGGGGGCCTGACCTTCTCTAAATAACCTGACAACCATTGTCACTGGGACAGAAAGTGATGGGAAATGTATGAATGTTACATGGAAATTTTCCAATGTTGACACCTGTTTTGGAGATACACTATATTGCCAAAAGTATTGGTACACCCCTCCAAATCATTGGATTCAGATGTTCCGTGAAATTTCCTTGCTACTAAATATTCCAGTCAACTGTTAGTGGTATTATAACAAAGTGGAATCAACTGGGAACAACAGCAACTCAGCCAGTTGCTCAGGCCGGTTTCAATGGCCGAACAGCTGTACCCAAGCCTTACATCACCAAGTGCAATGCAAAGCATCGGATGCAGTGGTGTAAAGCACGCCGCCACAGGACTCTAGAGAAGTAGAGACGTGTTCTCTGGAATGGCGAATCACGCTTCTCTGTCTGGCAATCCGATGGACGTGTCTGGGTTTGGCGTTTGCCAGGAGAACGGTACTTGCCTGACTGCATTGTGCCAAGTTTAAAGTTTGGTGGAGGGAGGATTATGGTGTGGGGTTGTTTTTCAGGGGTTGGGCTTAGCCCCTTAGTTCCAGTGAAGGGAACTCTTAAGGCATCAGCATATCAAGACATTTTGGACAATTTCATGCTCCCAACTTTGTAGGAACAGTTTGGGGATGGCCCCTACCTGTTCCAACATGACTGCACACAGTGCACAAAGCAAGATCCATAAAGACATGGATGAGCGAGTTTGGGGTGGAGGAACTTGACTGGCCTGCACACAGAGTTCTGACCTCAACCTGATAGAACACCTTTGGGATGAATTAGAGCGGAGGCCTTCTCATCCAACATCAGTACCTGATCTCACAAATACGCTTCTGTAAGAATGGTCAAACATTCCCATAGACACACTCCTAAACCTTGTGGACAGCCTTCCCAGAAGAGTTGAAGCTGTTATAGCTGCAAAGGGTGGGCCAACTCAATATTGAACCCTACGGACTAAGACTGGGATGCCATTAAAGTTAATGTGCGTGTAAAGGCAGGCGTCCCAATACTTTTGGTAATATAGTGTAGCTGTGTATGAGGGGCTGGGAAATGGGACACAAATGGCACAAAAAAACACGATAGAAGTCTTTTGATAAATTCCTCAATCTAATGAAAACGTAACAAAACAAAACAAAAAAAGCAGTTTTAGTTTTAGATATACTTGACCATTTGTGTCCATTTATGAACACTAAAATTAGGGCCTTTTTAAACCAATCAGGAAAATGAAGTATTATTAAACATAGTAGCCCTGAAGAGAACAGACCTGACTGAGTTCAAACTTTTCAGCTGTGTAGAATTAACATGTGCATTATTGCAATGCATGTTATAAGCGTTAGTGTATTGCGCCACCAATCATTTTGGATGACACCCCAACAGACTAAAGCAATGCAGCTTCATTGCACAAGCACTGCAGAATGCCACAATGAATGGTAACACACTACCATGCATTGTGATCTGAAAAATCTCGGGCAGCCGCAAAGGATCTTGGGGCGGGCGCATGCGCAGTTCAGATTTTCGGCCGGGAGACGAGGAGAGACACAAGGTAAATCTATGGGCAGCGTGCACCCGCATGCAGACACCGTGGGGCAGGAAGTGCCAGCGAGCACAGAGGAGTCAGCGCTGGATCAGAGGCCCGCAGCAGTGCTGGAGTGAAGGCTGAAAACGACAGGAAAGAAGAAGAAGATCGGATTAAGAGACATAATTTAAGGTAAGTGCTGGCACTAACATTGGGGGAGGGGAAAAAATGTATCCTTTAATGTAAATTTAATACAATGCATGCAGTATGTACAACAGATTATGATGTGAAGAATGTAAAACACTTATACCCTTACCTTTGAACTTTTTCTGGACTTGCATTCATCATGATGAAGTAGCACACAAGTACCAGTGTGAATATGTGCAAAGAGTACCTAAGATTTAAAAACAAACGTACATTAACTGCTTAGCTTCCATTAAAGCTACTTGATAGCAGCAACAGTCTAGCGTTAAAGAGGTTTATACCCATTCTAGGTAAAACAACAATAGATGATATATGAGAGCATACATTAAGAACAGTATACCATGAGTAGATGGTACCAACAGTAAATGTTATGAAAGTACCACCGCTGAATGCACACGCAGTGACTGAGGATGAATACAGGTAACAGCTGTACTTCCAGTGATCCTGCGCAGTTGCTAGCAATGAGAGTTAAGGGTTTAAAGTACATATAAACCCAATTTGACATGCCTACATTTATGTTAGTTCAAAAGAGCATCAAATTGATTGTCCATAAACTATAGAATTCCTTTTTTTCTGCATATTATTTACCTCGGTCACAGGATCCATATCCTCTTCCCTCTCAGCTCAGTGTGCTTAGTGGTGGAGATATTTTCAATAGTGTGACATGTCCGGCGCATATCACTGCAGTGTGTTTGTGTCCTTGGCCCATGGCCACACAAAGCCAATCATTGCTCTAGTCACGTGGCTCCCCGGATAGGCATCCCACGTGACACTCCTGCATGTCATATGGGGTGGCTCAATCTTCCTGACTTCTTTACTGCAGAGCATGCTTTCTCCCCTGTAATCTGGCCCATGTAAGTATTTCAAAGAAGAAGGAGGAAGCGTTCCGCTATCAATCAAGGCAATGGAGCCACCCCGCAAGATGTGCAGGACTGAGACCTGGGGCAGCTAGCTAGGAAACTAAGAGGAAGTAGATAACTTCTACAGCCTGGAAAATGGAACAGAGTGGCAACGCAGAAGATTATAGATCAGCCGGCATAGCGTTGTCATACCGAGGTATGGAGGCACTATGAACAGGCAGGATCACCATGTATTCAGTAAGTAATAATTGTTCTTTAATGAACCTTGACCACATAGTTAGGGAAAATAGAGAGTCACAGAGGGAGAATACATTTTTGGGTTTACTGACACTTTAAGGGAGCCACATAAGTGCAAAGAAGGTCTGGAAGGTCATCAATTCCTTCCACTACTGATCTCCCAGACCTGTCTATAGAAGTATCATTCCACAATAACAATGCTTACTGGGTCAATTGACACTACTAATGACAGGAAGTAATTGGTGCTAATGAAAACCACTCAGGTTCTATGGCCTACACCCCTATGTTTAATATAACAGGACTGGCATTTCTGGGATTACTAATCTTGTGTTTCAGTTCTTCCACAAATCTCTTTACCTTTAATTCTTGATTACTGGGCAATGTTTCCCTAACATAGTATTTACCTTAGACCAGAGGTAGGCGACCTCGGCACTCCAGCTGTGGCAAAACTACAAATCCAATCATGTCTCTGGGAGCCATACCTGTGGCTGTCAGAGTCTTGCAATGCCTCATGGGACTTGTAGTTCCACAAAAGCTGGAGTGCTAAGGTTGACCTACCCCAGCCTAGATAACTGCAAATGATATTATCAACTTCAATCATTGCTTGTGATTATCAGGCTATTGCTGAACTGTGAGAAGGAATATCTTTTTAGGAGTAGGTGCTGATCCCTTTCTGGCCATACACCCGTCATTTTTTCTCATTCAGCACTGCGGGCTTGATTGCAACCCCTGCACCCCCCTCCCTTCCCCACCAGGTTATTGTATTCTGACAGTGGCGGGGGTGTGCTGCTGTCTGGACACACGAACAATGACTGCAGAAGAATTTTTTTGACCGGCTCCTTTGACAAGAGTGGCTTTACTGGTCAAGGACCATGGCATGCTTACCACTAGCGCAACAAAGAGATCTTCCTATCCATTGTTCTTGGGAAAATATCTTTCGGTCCATGGCCAGTCTAAAATGTACTTTCTGCACAGATAATGCATCAAACCAAAGCCAGACACTGAAGCCTATGACCATAACGAATTTACAGAGACCTGCAAAACCTACAAACCTATATTTGAATATATTTATCCATACATTTAGCCATAAAGGATATAATTCCACTTGTAAAAAGTAGTGGTAACATCATCACTGTGCAGAGAGCAGAGCTGAGGGAGGGACCCAGCAGGCCCGCCCACTACAGGCTGCCTGGAGAAAACTACAGGAGGGGTGGAGACAAGACCAGTCACCCTGCACAAGAACAGAGAGTAGCAGCGACTGGTCTTTAATACAGGAAGCTCCTGTACAGAGGTAAAGTTTCAATAAGAATACACAGGCCTCTTGTTTATAGACAATATTTGCTCAGTTTAACAGCTGAACCTGACACAGACCAGACATTATGTACGTGGATTAGAAGCAGAGAGGGCAAAGTTTGTACAGACAATGTCCTGTCTCACAACACATCCAAGATCTCTCATGAGTTCCAGTTTCAATCTCAGTTTTTATTATGTTATTGCTCAGGGTTTGACTCAATGAAGAGAAACACGTTTCCATAATTGAAGCATTCTCTGCAACAGAATATTCTTGACAAAGATTCCATTCACATTCCACTTGTCACAATATACCAGGGACAGGCAAACTCCAGCCCTCCAGCTGTGATAAAACTACAAATCCCATAATGCCTCTGCCTCTGGGATGATGCCTGTGGCTGTCAGAGTCTTTAAATACCTTGTGGGATTTGTAGTTCCACAGCAGCTAGAACTGAATGTTTTTACGCCTGCTATATAGGTTCATGCCTACAGCGCAGTAAAAAGATCTATATTACTTACCATCCAAAGCAAAACACTGTGAGGTAAATTCCAATGATGGTGGTAAAGGCATGGCGCACAGTAGCATGTGCATGGCTTGCGCTCAGGTAGGTACGGAACCAAACAGCAACACCAAGGGCGAACAACTGACAAGCCACAAAGTTGACCTGCAATAGCAAAATAAACATATTTGATTTGTCTTCACGAAACTCATTGGCGGAATTTTTGAAAACTGGAGCAGGCAGAATCAGGAGCAGTTTCCCATTGTAATTAGCTTTTCTGTATCATTTTCAAAGCTTAACTGAACAAACTGAAGAGAGAAGCTGACTGGTTGCCATGGGCAACTGCTCCAGATTCTGTCTGCTCCAGCTTTTATGAATTCCCTCCATTGACTTATTAAGAGGCATATTTATTAAGCAGTTTATCCGAGATTAACTGCAGGTGAATCGTTCTGGTGCATGTGTTTTAACCCTTTCCTTGCCAACAATGTAAGGCACAAGTCGGAACAAAACAGCCAGCTCGGTAAGCCTTACATCGCTAGCATTCAGCCTTCTGCTAAAAGATTATGGCTTCAGCGACCATAAGCTTATATCATAAGGGTCCCCACGACGATCCTCTGTATATCAATATTTGACAAGCCGCTGATGACAGCTATTCAATCAAAATCAGCCCCCCTCTGCCAATGCTGGGTTTTATTTTATGGGGTACATAGGGGGTTTTATTAAATAGCTTGCTCATATTTTTGTTATAAGCTGACATACATGGACAAAAAGTTATTTTTTTTAAAAGTATTCTCCGGTTAGTTTGCACAACAGTTTTTAAAATATTTCCTTTTATCAATTCAATATTTTCTTTTTTCAGTGGCTCCGTGTGGCCCTGCAAGGGAAAGGAGCCACTCTAAAATGAAATATCAGGGGACCAGCTGATTCGGCAAGAATCTAAAACATTTAACTTTTTTAAACATCTAGAAGCAACATTCATTATAAGGGCTAGTTCACACCACACCAGCCTAATCTGGTGCCGGAATGCACTGGATCGCATCCCGACCGGCTCCCTGCGTTCAGAGGCATGGCGGTGCATTGAAGTCAATGGCACCGCAGCCACGCCCCTCAGCAGCATTGCGATCTCCCGCACCTGAAAGCGTGGCACATTAATGTCTGCGTTCAGATCTGGTCAGAAAAAATGCTGCATACACTATTTTGATGTGCCACGCGTTCAGGTGTGGGCGATCACACTGTGGCCGGGGTGTGTGGCTGCGGGGCCATTGACTTCAATGCACTGCCAAGCCTCCTCCTGCCCCTAAACGCAGAGAGCTGGCCGGGATGCGATCCAGTGCATTCCGACACCAGATCGGGACGGAACGTACTGTTTGTGGTGTGAACTAGCCCTAAGGCTGGGTTCACACCAGGGCCTTTTTCAGCGCTGATCGAAGCGCTGAAAAACGCTCAAGAAGTGAAATCCAAATCAATCTCTATGGGCATGGTTCCCACCTGGGCGTATTTCAGTGCGATTTGTCGCGCAGAAAGCGCCCTACGTGCGAAAAAGTACTTGAGCTTCTTTTTCGCGTAGGGGCCGATTGCAGCGCGTATCCATTGGTATTCCTGAGTGTGGCTCAGGGTTAGCAAACCGGTAACCCCGAGCCACACTCAGGAAAACAGCATAGGTCTTACCTTGTCTGCGATCCCACATGTCCTCCGGCCGCTGCCGTCTTCCAGGTTCCGTCCCTTGCGAGCGTCCGCGTGGCAGGGGGGCGGAACCGGCGGGAAGTTTGAAAGTTTTTAAAAAAACAAAAAAAAGAAAGCGGAAAAAAATCATACCACCAGAGAGGTTAAAAAACGAGCGTCGAACGCGCGTTCCATTGGACTAAAAAACATGCTAAAAAAACGAGCATAAAACGCGCCTACAGGAACTCCCAGGTGTGAACCCAGCCTTAGAGATGTCATCTGCATTGGAAATAGCTTATGAAAATCTGTTCACTTTAATATCACTTTAAAATCAAAAATATCCTAAAACTGCATGCTAGTTTTTTTATTTATTTTTTATTCATGTAAGACAAAACACATCGCTCATTCTTGCAATTAAGTTTTTGGCTTTTAATTTGAAATGGAAATTATTTTTAAAAAGTCAGCTGCACATGTTTAGCTGCCTTGGGAAATTGATAGACACAGCAGTCAGCAGCTATAATTATATATAGAGACTGAGAGAGAGAGATCACCTTTTCCTTTTTTTTCACATGGTGTGGGTTAAACTCCAGCATGCTTGGCAGATGCCTGCACTCTCTCTCTCCAAGAATTACAGTAGGGTAGGATTCTACACAGCCCACTCCCTAGCAACTAATCGTGCTGTTCATTGCTCAACCTCAAAAATGGCAGATGTGAAGCCACATAAAAGGTCTCTGTTTAACAGGATGAGGAAAGCAGTTATGTTGTTTCCTCATGGTAGTCTGCTTGTGGTTTCTGGCAATCAGTAACAGAAAACTTTCAATCTGTTTTTATTTATATGTAATGGAAATAAGATCCAACGGCAAAGGTGTACTGCTTTTTTATTTTAAACTGACGCTAAAAACTCAGGAGTTAAATCTTAAAAATACATTCAAGTACCTTAACTATTACCAAAAATGTTTCTTATTTGTGTAACACTCGGCTGTAAATCCTCAAATCATCTCTGAATTCATACTGACACTGTCCTTCCTTCTGGAGTGTGGCTACTTGTGTTCCACATGGTCCATACGTGTGTTATCAAGTATCCACCGCTCCAAGCTTGCTCCAGTGATGGACTTCAATCTCACGTTTAGTTGCCTAATTTGTATTGAGATTGTAGTCCATCATTGGAGCAAGCTTGGAACGGTGGCTACTTTAAAACGCACGCAGGGACCATGTGGAATAAAGGGCCACCCTCCAGAAGGAAGCGCAGTGTTAGCACAAATTCAGAGATGATTTGATGATCTACATCTGAGTGATACACAAATAAGTTACATTTTTGTTGAGAGATATTTATTTAGCAAGTTGCCCATGAATGGGGCCCCAATGTAGCGCAAATCAGAGCACATATTTTTGGAATAGCTTTTTTGTGGATTGCCTTCCATGTTTGCGATGGACTCTGCCATGGATGGTGCCAGGGCATGCTTAGAACCCCTATGAAAATTCTAAATATTAACAACCACTTACAAAGCCATCCACAACTCTGCCCCCCGGTTGTATCTCAAACCTTGTGTCAAAGTATCACCCTAACCGTCCCCTCTGCTCTTCCAAAGACCTCCTGCTTTCCAGCTCCCTCATCAACGCCTCATGCTCGTCTCCAGGACGTCTCTAGAGTCTTTCCCATCCTCTGGAACGCTTTACCCCAACCTGTCTGTCTATCTCCTACTCTGACTGCCTTTAGGCAAACTAACCACTGAACCACCATATTCTCAAACAATTCATCCCCACACAGCTACCTCCTCGTGTATCACTAGCCCCTCCCTTTTTGATTGTAAGCGCTCATGGGCAGGGCCCTCCTTACCATCTTATCTTGAATTGTATTGTAATGTCTTCCTTCTATTGTAAAGCACTGCTCAAACTGTTGGCGCTATATAAATCCTGTATAATAAAATTAATAAAAGAAAGATCCAATAGCTGGGCACAAACAGCTTGAAAGTCCCTAGCAGATACAGAAGTCCCCATGGACACGGGGTGACACAGACAACAGAGCTGAAACAGACTTCACAGAAAAAGACCCGATAATGATATGGGTCCCAGGTTCCAGATTACAGGTGTCAGATCCATCAAGGGATACTTGGTAAATGTCCCCAGACCCATTAGTGGAGTATAGGCGGAGGTCACCCTTAACAGGACGGTCTTTGAGCAGACATGTTGTGTCGCGTGACAATCAGCAACAAGGCCCACTGTGAGTCTTATGAGACAGGGTCACTCCAGCGGCTCTGGACCTGGAAAGTGCTCTGCAGCCAACTAACACAGTACATCAAGGTCTGCAAAGCACCACAATGCAGAGTCCAGTGCTCTTAGGTGATGTTCTAGATGAGCCTCGACACCTCTAGAGGACTACTCACACACTGAGTCTTCAGAGAGAGGGTCACACCACAGGCTAAACCACAGCTCTAGACCCAGGAAAGCACTCTGTGGTTAACCTAACCAGTACATTCTGGTCTGGGAAGTGCCACAATGCAGATCTCAGTGCAAGAAGGTTACATTTCAGGCTAACCCCGCAATTTTCTAGTCCAGCAGGAACGAGGTACAGTCCCCCCCAAAGCTGATGCTGAGGGGATGCCTATCAGGAGAGCTGCTCTGAGGAGACCAACTCATGCAGCAGTATGGAAATCTTGAATGAAGTCACCGGAAAAAAAAAATAATATCAGTGTGTATGAAGGATCTTGATTGAAGTCTTAAAAAAAAGTGAAAACTATTGTTATACTTTTTTTTTTTAGCAGAGCGGAGGGAAAAAAAATGTCCAAACTCCCAGGACGCCAGCACTAAACTGAGGTATGCCAGTTAGAGGCTGGGTTATGTGAAGGTTGGCCTTCAACTTTTTTCTGTTTACTAATGTCCAAACCTCCTATGGGCAGCAGCATAAAACCCCGTCTTTTCAGAATTCCTAAACGTCTGTTCCCCTTAATGGATGATAAAGAAATTGCTACACAATTACACATATGAGCATATGTAAACCTGAAATATCGGTGGAAGATGACCACCAAACAAGAAGGATAGGTAAGAATAATATGTGTTTATAAAAATATGAACTTCAGATTTGAAAATATCTGCAAATCTTAGAAAAATTTGGAAATTTAAGAGATATGACTGTACTGTATATCTCATTAAATATATGATCACTAGATGACAGTCAGTCTGTCATGTATTTAATATACAGCTCTCTTGTACTTGTGACACATGTTTTTCATATACAGCTTAGCTGTACCTATACCAACAAGCTAGTCACATTTACAATATAATACAGCAGTACAAAGGAATGTCCCTTAGTGGTTCTACAACTGCATTCCACACGGTACATATTTTCTAGGAGACAAAGGTCTATTTATACAGATTGGTGAACAATTGCGTTTCATAGTGATCTACCTTGTCCTTTTTCCATAAAAAATTTCACCTGGGGTTTCTCGAGTTTATTATATGGGAAGTTGGAATGCTTGAGTGCAATGCAAAAAATGTGCAAAATG